GCCCCGCCCCTCCCCGGCCCCGCCCCGCCCCTCCCCGGCCCCGCCCCCTCGCCGCCTTTCCTGTACTGACCTCTCAGCACAGCCCGGCTCATTCCAGAGCCCGCGCATCGCTGATTTCATTGGCTGCCTCGCCGTCCCCGCCCCCTGGAGACCTGCTGATTTTTGTAGCCAATCAGCAGGCGCGGCGGCGGCGGCGGCGGCGGCGGCGGCGGCGGCGGCGGCGTTCTCGGCGGATACCCGGCGCTGAGGTACCGGGGCTGGCCGGAGGGGCTGCGGTCCTGGGAGGGCGCCGTGCGGGCCCTCAGCGGCGCCGCGGCTGAGAGGTTGGGCCACTCTCCTGCCTCCGGAGGGGCGGCGACCGCCACCGTCCGGGGCTGGCTGGAGGTTGTTGGGGTTGAGGGCAGAGGTCGGAGGTCGTGCCTTTGTGGAATGTTGGGGTCCCGCCCGTCTAAGCCTAGGAGTGGGCGGCGCCCCGTTTTGTTTTTGTCAGCGCCTGTGTGGGGACCGCCCTCCTTGCACGGAAAGGGCTCTGAGGGAAACTGAGGCCTGGGAGCCGCCAGGGCCCCTCGCAGGCCCTGTGCTCTGACGGGAGGCCGGCGGCCCTCGGGTCCCCGAGGACGGCCGCCGCCTCCCTCCTCCCGGCCGGCGGGTCTGGAGGGTGCGGGCAGGAGGGGGAGGGCGGCACGGTCGCGCGGGGGGCCGCTGGCCGTCCCCGAAGGCGCCGCTCCCCTGGGCTCCGAAGGGCCCCACGCCAGCGCTGCTGAGGCTGTCATTCCCCGTGTTTGAGATTTCGTTTCTGGAACGTCACTCGGACGGTTCCAAGAGGGGAAAGCGGGTAGTGTGGCTTTTGCACTTGGCTGGAGGTGAAAATGAAAACCAGGCGTGGGATGTAATGAAGGCAAAACGACCTGTGAGAAACTGGACGAATTTCTTAGCTCGACAAGAATTTTCTGCCCATCTCGGCCCACATACTACGTAATGCAAGCCTTGGGTATTGGAAATCAGAGTATTTTATTCTCCTAGTTCTCATAAGTAAATGCCCTTAGTTTTGACCTTGGCGAGGATGCTTTGGAATGTGTAAAGTATTGAACAAGAATTGTTTTGTACAAAAGTTCTAAGTTAAGATTCTCAGAGCAAGGAAGCTGGGAACAGCCTTTGCCTCTCATTGCAAGGATCCCAGCAGCTTCTTTACCCCTCTGAGACTAAAAAGAGAAGTCGTTTATCTGTGTGGGTTTTGGAGAGACACCAGCTATGGATGAGGAATAGGGGGGATGCAATTAGGGGAAAAAGCTATTTTTATATGCATCTCAGCTAGCATAGAACACATTTTTTTTTTTTTTTGTACTGATGGTGTCTGTTGAGTATTTACAATGATCAGGGAAAGGAGTAATCTCTAACAAGACACTTCTCTTTAGTGTAGCTGCAGAGCATTGAATGTGCCTTCTGTGGAATTAACCATGGGGTTTGGTTTTCAGTTAAGAAAATGAGGCAGAAGGAAGTGTTAACCAAGACCTTCCAAGGCCCGGCCATTGTCTGTAGGACTCCGACCAGCCACGTTTACATGTTTGAGAACGGTGGTGGGGACTCGGGGGACTCCTCTGAGGAAGAGTCCCACCGCGTGGCTCTGCGGCCCCGGGGCAAGGAGCGCCAGAAGAAGGGTGCCCATCACCCTCACCAGCCAGGAGCAGGGGACGTGGTGCTGCTGCAGCGGGAACTGGCCCAGGAGGACAGCCTCAACAAGCTCGCTCTTCAGTATGGCTGCAAAGTAAGAAACCCCACAGGTGAAGGTGTCAACTGTCCCTCAGCTCCTGTGTGTTTAGAGGAACAGAGCAACTCACTGAAGGGTGGGGGCCCTTGCTGCCCCTTCCTGACCACCCAAAGGTGGTTTGGAGAGGCCTCTTGTAGCCTTAAAGGACGCCCCCCCCCCCCATCTAGCGAGAGATGGAAGGCAGGTGGAAATACTTTAAATTCTGAACCGTGGGATCATGAAAAGTGAGGGTTAGGAATCTCACGTGTTGGGGCAGTTCCCTCTCTGCAGAGTACTTCTCTCCCTGTCCCTCCAAACTGAATTTCAGAACCCCCCCTTTTATAAAGTAGGCTTCATGCCCCATGTGGAGACCACATGGGGCTTGAACTTGCAATCCTGAGATTAAGACCTGGGCTGAGATCAAGAGTCAGATGCTCAGGGGCACCTGGGTGGCTCAGTCGCTTAGGCCTCTGCCTTCAGCTCAGGTCATGATCCCGGGGTCCTGGGCTTGAGCTCCACATTGGGCTCCCTGCTCGGCAGGGAGTCTGCTTCTCCCTCTCCCTCTGCCCCTCCCCCGGCTTGTGCTTTCTTTCTCAAATAAATAAAATCATAAAAAGTCAGATGCTCAGCTGACTGAGCCACCCAGACACCCCCCCAACCCCCACCTTTTTTTTTTTTTTCTTCTTTCAAACACATTTTATTTAAGACCTACTATGGCCAAAGATGCCAGGCAGAATTTATCCAAGGTTTGTTTGGTAGGCTTGCTTTTTTGACTACTTCTCTTTTTCTGACCCTTTCTTGCTGGTTGTAGCTTATTTGGTCAAGTTTTACATTCTCTCTTTTAGAACTGCATGATCTAGCCTTTGTATGCTGTGTATCCATATAACCCTGTTTCTCTCTTTAATTATGTTTTTAGCATTCAGAGTGATTAACATGGCAAAGTAAGTAGGAAAGTATTTATAGAATTGCTGCATTTTTCTCCTAGATTGAAACTATTTATTTCATTTTGCTAATAATACTGTGTTACAACTTTCTGTGGCCTCCCCTGAGGCTGTCTAACCAATTTATTTGAGAAATCTTTTCCTCCTTAGTTTCTTATCATTTATCTAACAAGGTTCAAAGGGTTAAACACATTGTATAGGATGTTGTGGTATTTCCCAGGGGAAATAAATAGGCTGGTCTCTAGGGACACAGAGTGGTCTCTCAATTGTACTGAGATTTATATTTGACTCTCTAAATAGCTTCTGTAGGCATACTGTGTGGTTTATAGACATGGGCTGAAAATGAATCTGACCCTACACTGAGTGGAGGCAGTGGGCTTCTTGGAATACTGATGTTTAATAAGTCTGTGAAGACTATATATATAATGCCTCCGATAAGTAATCAGTTTTCTAGTTTAAAGTACATATAAATTTGGTGTTAATTTATTAAAGGCAGAGACCATCAGGTCTCAAGCACCTTATGCTTTAGTTTCAAGACATGATAAATTAAAAATGTCTGCCACCCCAATTCAATTAGATGATAAAAACAATTGCTCAATAAGTGAAAAATAATGGAGATGATTGATTTGAACAAGGTGCTGTCTAAAGGTCTGTTGGCTATATTTACACTCTAGTTTAAAGTGGGCTTATGAGTTAATATCTTAAAGTCCATCTCTAATGCTTTCAGTAAGTTCCAAACATTAGCTTGAGGGAGGGTTTCTCTTTGACTTACATTCTGCACCACCCCTCCCTTAAGATTTGATTGTGGAAGGAGTTTGTCATGAACTTTGTTACTTTGTAAAACTCATAGTGCAGTTCCTTTCTCCTCCGGTCCTAAAATTGAAACAGAAGACTTCAGTCCATACTTTCCAACTTGATTCATGATTCCCTGTATGTTTCTAATTATCATTAAGTGTTGTGAAATCCTCAAAGTGTATTACCCCTAGATCTCTTCTATTTAAAAAATAAGTTTATATGCCATACAATACTTCTGGGCAAGAAAACATGGTAGAATCATGAGGACATACCTCTTAAAACGTTATTACAGTTAAAATAGGTTCTGAGTGTCTGTTGAGTTGGCTGAGGCTTTGTGTTTGGGGATCGCTAATGTAATCAGCTACTGAATTGGGTTCTTAATGTGGGAAGGAAGTCAGCCAGACGGGGGCACTGTTGCCTCAAAAGTTAAAAGTAGACATGGCTATAGCTTTTTAAGTTGCCATGGTTGGGTTTCACCTAAAAACATTTTGTTGCGGTCACACTTTAAACAAACAAGAGACTCTTTTCCAAAATTGATCTTATGTTATTCAAACTTGTAAATCTGTATGGAAATGTGATGATTAAGCTACCCATTCAGGCTGAGTTTAAGCCAAAAAAGTTACTCAGCCTAAACTAATTTTGTACATAGATGCAGTTTTCCAATATTCATCAGATTCTTAAGCGGGGTGGGCTTGGATCCTCTTTCATAGAGAGCTACTTTTTGGATATTCGTTCTAAGGAGTTTACATATTTCGTGATGTTTGTCTTCATGGCTTTCCTAGGTTGCAGATATCAAGAAAGTCAACAACTTCATCAGAGAACAAGACTTATATGCTTTGAAATCTATTAAGATTCCAGTGAAAAATCATGGGATCCTAACAGAGACCCACAAAGAACTCAGACCCCTCCTGAGCCCATCCTCAGAGACCAGAGTGACCTTTGAGGAGCAGCCAGACCCAGATAGAGCAGCTGTAGTCACCGGTGCCCTATCCAGCCCACTGACGGATTTCTTTAAGGGCATTGACCAGAATATTGAGCGCGCAGTGCAGTCAGAAATCTTTTTAAATGAAAGTTACTGTCTAGAGACCTCCAATCAGCCGCTCCTCCCGGCTTCTCCGAAGACCCCGACAAATGGTGCAGACTGTGGAATTCAGTGGTGGAATGCCGTTTTTATCATGCTTCTAATTGGGATTGTTTTACCAGTGTTTTATTTGGTCTATTTTAAAATCCAGGCTACTGGCGAGATCCCCAGTAGCTTGAACACAACTGCTGTCCCCAATGGCTCACTGACCGTGAGTGCAGTTCCAGGGCACGTCCCCAGATTAGCAGTTCCAGTGCCAACAGTCCCCTCTTCAGACAGCCAGTTCAGTCCAACCACCCGAGCAGGGAACTAGCTCTTTTTGTTTCTAAAGAATCAGGCCAGTGTTAGCATTCGGCCTCCTCTAATGTGCATCACTTGACATTGGCCATATCTTAGGGTGCTGCATTTCCTTTTCTATGACATATGGACATGTCTCAGAAGCCAGTGTTGTGTTCTCCAGAACACTCACCCTGGGGAATAGGCTCACCTAATCCAAGGCTGTGGGAGTCAAAACACCAGCACCCTCAGCCCCCTGCATCCAGAAGGTACAGCAAGGGAGACATTTGCACATGATACATGCCGTTTCTTGAGGGTATAGCGTGGACTGACACTGCGTGGGTCCCCATGTTGGACGTGTTCGGAAGTTGAGGAGCGGCGTTAAACCTTCAGTGTGGGAGCCTCTGGGATCAGCTTTGGTCACGTGCCTGTTTGCAGTGTCCCCTGCCTGCAGGGAAGAGATAACTGGCTGTGACACATGGTGTTCTTTGTCCCCCGGCAAAGGTGCTCTCCAGTAGTGGTGAACATCACCCTGTTTTGGAATAGGATAGATTATAAGAAGCCCTATTTGATCTTTGCCCCACCAGTTAGCCTTTTTTGAGGCACTGTCACTTCTAGAATTGAAAAAGCCCTGAATCTGAATTGCTCTAATATCAAGTAAATGGCAGTTCTGTTCCTTGTACTTCTAGAACTACTTAGTAATACCCAGGCCAGCTTGAAGGTGCTGCATGGTGTGGCCAGCACTTCCTGGCCAAAAGATTTGGAGGCTTTTCCTCAGTTTCCCCTGAGGTGCATCCCCACTGCAGTGGCTGACCAGATTACCCAAGTTAGCATTCTTGGAAAGAATTCTTGCTGGCCAGTGACTGGAGCTGAGTAGGTGGAGAGAAAAAGATGAGTGCCTATCACCGAGGTCCCAACATGTGACACTTCTAAGGCCGACCAGTCCAGCATTGCTGAGAGCGGCAGCCCCTGGGTGTACCTAGAAAACAGGTGCAGGGAGAATAGGTGTGCTTCCTGCTGCTTCCCCTACTCTAATCTTGGGAAGTCTAGAGCCATTGCGCCAGAATGGGGCTCAGTGTTTTTCTTTGGGTAAATACACTTTATATAGTGTAGCTCATGATGTTAAAAACCAAACCACTTAATGTACGGCCTAGAGGTGACCGTTGCTGTGAAGGCCATAAAAAGAGGGGTCAGGCTCCCATCAGCCTGAGGTTTTCCCATCTACACCGCAGCAGTCATGCCGGAGGCTCGAGGGAGGCATGGGTCAGCCTCTGAGGCCTTGCAGGTGGAGCAGGGGTACGTGAGGTGAGGGTGAAAACCTGTTTGGCTGGAGCCCATCTCAGTCCCACGGAAGAATGGAAATGGGCTTACGTGGCTCAGAGCAGCCCGCCACCAGGGAGGAAAACAGACTGCACAAATGCTGAGCTTTGAGCGTGGTTTATGTCATTGGACACATCAGGCCTAGAGATGAGAAGATTTCATCACGTAAGAGGAGGCGAGTGTGGCAGAGGAGTACTTGAAATTGGCTTCTCATTTTTCTCCTCTCACCTACGTGGAGAACGATTTGTGCTGGGTTCAAGTAAATTTAAAGTATCTTCAAAAGTAAATGTTTTCTTCAAAATCAAAATGGTCTTCAGGATAAAATGAACTTGTGAATTTTTGCTACAGGAAATGTTTTGATCATGTGAATGCTTTTCCAGCCAAATTTTTGTGCTCACTGTGCCCCTGGAGGTCACAGGTTTCTCTAACATATCACCATTAACTTAACGAGGCAGAGCCCGGAGTCCCATGGGAAAATGGCTTTTGCCAGGCAAAGAATAAATATCTGTATCCTTTACTTTTTAAAAATGGAATAAAATAATTTCTTCTGTGAAGGAAAATTGATTCTTCTTTCTTTTTTTTTTTTAATTGGGGAGGGGTGGTGATTCAGAATTAAAAGATGTGCGACAATGTTGGAGAACATGGAGGTGTCCATGTCCAGGGGGTGAGGCCTGCCCAGGGCTTGTGCCCAAGGTCACCAGAACAGGTGAAGAACAGAAGTGGTAAACCAGCACAGTCTCACTGATTGGTCTGTACAACGTGCTTTGAAGTGGTTTTATTAAGTATACATGAGAGATATCATGAAGCTCATTTCCTATACATTTTACTACATTTTTAGTGTCTTGGGAGTTAATGTTTTAAAGAAGTAATTAGATTTGATAGGTAGTGTTTGGTCCTTTTGATTGAACTATAGTGCCCAACATTGTGGACACCTAGGGAATCTTATGTCGTCAGGCAAACGATGCTCCCATTTTACCCTAGGGTGACAAGGCTGCAGAGACTAAGCAGAAGTCTCAGGGTCACCCAGAGCAGAACTGCCCAGCCAAGGCCATGCCGCAGTCCTTCCTTGGGAAGGTAGTTCTTTAAACTGCCTCTGTTGGGGTGCCTGGGTGGCTCAGTCATTGAGCGTCTGCCTTCGGCTCAGGTCATGATCCCAAGGTCCTGGGATCAAGCCCCGCATCAGGCTCCCTGCTCCACGGGAAGCCTGCTTCTCCTTCTCCGCCTGCTTGTGTTCCCTCTCTGGCTGTGTCTCTCTCTGTCAAATAAATAAATAAATAATATCTTAAAAAAAAAAAATAAACTGCCTCTGTTAATAGTGAAGTCCTCCCAGGGTTGAGGAAGAATGATAAAGATTCTTATTTCTCTACATCTGCACCAACATTTGTGAACTCTTGTCACATTGATGATAGCCATTCTAACAGGATGGGATATCTCACTGTGGTTTTGATTTGCATTTCCCTAATGATTAGTGATGTTGAGCACCTTTTCATGTACCTGTTGGCCATTTGTATAATTTATTTGGGAAAATGTCTATTCAGGTGCTTTGCCCATTTTTTAATTGTTATATATATATGTATATATATTTTGCTGCTGAGTTGTGTGAGTTCCTTATGTATTTGGGCTATTAACTCTTTATTGGATATATGGTTTGCAAATATTTTTTCCCACTCTGTAGGTTGTCTTCATTTTGTTTTTTCTTTTGCTATGCAGAAGCTTTTTAGTTTGATATAGTCTCACTTATTTTTGCTTCTGTTGCTTATGTTTTTGGTATTATATCCAGAAAATCGTTGCTAAGACCACTATCGAGTTTACCGCCAAGGAGCTTATATTCAAGTCTTTAATCCATTTTGAGTTAATTTTTGTAAGTGGATAAAGATAGGGGTCTGCTTTCATTTTTTTTACACATGAATATCCATTTTCTCAGCACCATTTATTGAGGAGACTATCTTTTTCTCCATTGAGTATTCTTGGCTCCCTTCTCAATACGACTGTATATGCACCGATGTATTTCTGGGTTCTCACTTCTGTCGGTTTGTATTTGTTTTAATGCCATTACCATACTGTTTTAATTACTATGGCTTTTATAATATAACTTGAAATCAGGAAGTGTGATGCCTCTGCTTTGTACTTCTTTCTCAGGATTCCTTTGGCTATTCAGAGTCTTTTGTGCTTCCATATAAATTTTAGGATTTTTTTTCTACTTCTGTAAAATTTGCTATTGGAATCTTGATAGGGATAGCATTGAATCTATAGATGGCTTTGAGTAATATGGAAATGTAAACAATATTCAGTTTTCTAGCCCATGAACACAGGATACCTTTCCATTTATTTTTATCTTCTTTCATCAGTGTTTTGTAGTGTTCAGTGTAGAGTTCTTTCAACCTCCTTGGTTAAATTTATTCTTAAATATTTCATTGTTTTTGATGTTAGTATAAATGGGATCACTTTATTTCTTTTCAGATAACTCATTGTTAGTGTATAGACACACTACCAATTTTTATGTTAATGTTATATTAATAATTTTATGTTTATGTTAATTTTGTATCCTGGAACTGTACTGAATTCATTGATAAGATCTAACAGTTTTTTTTTATGGATTCTTTAGGATTTTATATATATAAAATCATGTCATCTACAAATAGAGATAATTTTACTTATTTTTTTTTTTCAATTTCCTGCTTTTTATTTTTTTCTTGTCTGATCACTCTGGCTAGGGCTTCCAGTACTATGTTGAAAAGAGTGGTGAGAGTGAGCATCCTTGTTTTGTTCCTGATCTTAGAGAAAAAGCTTTCACCCCTTCATCATTAGGCATAAAGTTACCTGTGGACTTGTCATATATGGCCTTTATTATGTTGAGGTACATTCCTTCTACACCTAATTTGTTGTTAAAGAGTTTTTATCATGAACAGATGTTGAAGTTTGTCAAATGTTTTTTCTCCATCTATTGAGAGGATCATGATTTTGTCCTTCATTTTATTAATAAGGTGTATCACATTGATTGCATATGTTGAACCACCTTCTATCCCTGAAAGAAATCCCACTTGATCATGGTGAATGATCTCTGTAATGTGCTGCTGAATTTGGTTTGCTGGTATTTTACTGAGAATTTTTGCAACGATACTCATAGGGATATTGGCTTATAGTGTCCTTTTCTGGCTTTGGTATCAGGCAGTGCCTGATAGGGGTCTGCTTTCATTTTTTTTTACACATGGCTGAGTGATATTCCATTGTATATATGGACCACATCTTCTTCATCCATTCATCTGTTGAAGGGCATCTCGGCTCTTTCCACAGTTTGGCTATTGCGGACATTGCCGCTATGAACATTGGGGTGATGACACCTTATTTTAAACTGATAACTTTTACTTCTACTCTCCCTTATATTTTAGGTTATTGATGTTAAAGTTTACATATTTTTCATATTGTGAAACCAATAGCATTGTAATTATGGTTATTTTTACTACTATTTTTTGTCTTTTAAAGCAGAGCTGTAAGTGAATTATGCATCACAGTTACTGTTTTACAGAATCTAATCTAATTTTCACTACATATACCAGATAGTTTTATGTTACTTTCTTATGCTTTTATGAAATTAATCAGCATCCTTTTAATTCCACTAAAGAACTCCCTTTAACATTTCTTGGAAGGCAAGTTTAGTGGTGATGAACTCCCTCAGTTTTTGTTTGTTTAGGAAAGTATAGCTCTCCTTCATTTCTGGAGGACAACTTCTGGGTATAGAAATCTTGGCTGACGGTTTTGTTTTGTTTTGTTTTTCTTTCAATATTGTGAATATATCATCCCTGGCCTGAAATGTGTCTGTTGAGAAATCTGCTGGTAGTCTTATGGGAATTCCCTTGTATGTAACTTCTCTCTTTTCTGTTGCCACTTTCAAAATTCTTTGTCTTTGACTTTTGACATTGTAATTATGATGTGTCGTAGTATAGCCCTATTCAGGTTCAACCTATTTAGAGTCCTTTTGGCCTCATGGATCTGGATATCAATTTCTCTCTCCAGGTTTGGGAAGGTTTCAGCCATTATTGTTTTAAGTATACTTTCTGTCCTTTTCTCTTTCTCTTCTCCTTTGGCAATTCCCATAATGCTGATATTGTTTGTGTTCCTTAAGTCTTGTAAGCTTTCTTCACTCTTCCTCATTGTTCTTTTTTTTCTTTTCTCTGGATAATTTCAAATAGCCTATCTTCTAGAACATTGATTCTTTTGCCTTGTCAAGTCTGTTTTGAGGCTCTCTATTAAATTCTTCATTGTATTTTTCAGCTTTAGGATTTCATTTTTTTTTTTATGGTTTCTTTTTGTTGAACTTCTTGTTTTGCTCATGCATTGTTTTCCTAATTTCATTTAGTTTTCTGTGTATTCTTGTAGTTCACTAAACTTCTTTAAGAGGAATTTAAGGGGATTATTCTGAATTCTTTGGCAGTTCATAGATTTTCATTTCTTTAGGGTCAGTTATTGGAGCTGTTATTAGTTTCCTTTGGCAGTGTCACCTGTATCTGATTTTTTGTGATCCTTGATTCCTGACATTGGTATATGCACATCTGAAAAGTATTCTCCTCTTCCAGACTTTACAGGTTCTAGACTTTACAGGGGGTTAAGCCCTGCAGTCTCCCCTGCAGTCACCATGGGGCAAGGGTGGAGGCTTTCAGAGAGGGGCCCACAATGCTGGGGGAGTTGGACGTCCACCCTGGGCTCTTTTTTCCCCACTAGAGGAACAGTAGGCTCTTGGTGTGCTGCTGCGCCGGCCTGAGTGAGGGGCAGTGAAGTCAGTATGTAGCCATGCCTCTTGCTAATTACCTTTCTAATGCGATCTGTCTTGGTCTCTGTGGTGCTTCAGCCTCACCTCCATATTCTAGGATTCTTCCAGTGGTGCCTTGTCCATGAATAATTGTTATTGTTCTTGGGGGCGGTGGATAGTAAAGTCAGGAATGATTTATGTTGTCATCTTGGTGATGTCATTCCTCTAATATTTTTCATCAAGTCTAACTACTTAGTTTATTTTTGGGTTGTCTAACATAGTTTTTAAAAATTTTTATTGTAAAATATACATAACATAAATATACCGTTTTTAAGTGTACAATTCCATGTTACTAAGTACATTCAGTCTTGTGCAACCATCACCACTGTTCATTTCCAGAACTTTCATCTTCCCAGACAGAAACTCTTTATTTATTAAAGACTGTTTCTCCCTTTCCCCCAGCCCTGGATAGACTTTCTGTCTCTATGAATTTGTCTACTCTAGTAGTTCCATATAAGTGGAATCATACACTCATATTTGTCTTTTTTTTGTGTCTAGCTTTTTCACTTAGCATATTGTCTTCACAGTTCATCCATGTTGTTCCATGTGTCAGAATTGCATTCTTAAGGTGGAATAATTCCATTATATGTATATACCACATTTTGTTTATCCATTTAGCCATTGATGGACACTCAGATTGCTTCCATTAACATAGTTTTCAAGGGATGGATTTAAATAGATTTTCAGTGTTCTCTTCTGCCCTTGATTAGAGAGCCAGAAATCTCACATTTGATTATTTTGGTAGAAAAAGAT